GTGGTCAGAGAGTGGGGTAGATCCGGCGAGTCTGCCTTTCTCTATTATTCAGCTACAGTCACCGTGATGGTCGTAGTAGATCGAAATATCTTACTCGTGTAGGTGGTGGCTACATCTAATTTTCTTGGATGTCACCCAGCTCTCACTTGTGGATTCCCAGAGTTAGGCTCTGCGTAGCGGCCATCTTCCAGCAACTGTCTAGATTGGCGGATGAAACCAGGTGAGGGTCTCCGGTGTGTGTACCCCCCACATCCGGTATGCTCCTGGGTAGCAGTAATATCATAGTAGACGATAGGCATATAAGCAGTTACTGTACTCCATAGACACCATAACAGCACTCGAAACAGTTTCTATATTCCCATAGCCATTGTAGTAACACTAGGAGCCACAGTAGCCTGCCAATAGTACAATATTATTCGCAGTAATTTTTCTTTATACTCACTAACCCCCTATTTAATCTAAATGTCGTCTCTGCGTTCTAAAGGTTAGTGCTGCTGTAGAGGTAAATAGAAAGGCATCCTAGTATTGGAGTTGTGGCGTTATCTGCGAGAAATCTACCGACTTGTTTGAAATTAGGGGAAAAGGAGGAAAGGTGGAATTTTCGTACACATGCGCACCAAACCATTAGTCGGATTCACTCGTAAATTTGACACATAATAGATGGAAAATAAGCGTTGTTATTGTGAGAACCGAATGCTAAAAACATTTTTTACACCCAAGAATATCGGCTAAATACCGAACTTACCCGAATTCTAATGTCAGTATCCGTATCGTGCAAAGTGGTTTGAAGAAGCACTCCCCTTCACCCTGTCCTACATAAAAAAATCATGAGCAAAGAACTTACAAAGTATTTTACTAAAGGTATTTTTGTTTTGAATTATGTGCTCATTACTCTTTTCATTTACTGAGCTGTTTGTTTAACCGCGTCGAAGCTTCCAGTAATAGCGTGATTGCCATTCCTCATGCTGCGTGCCACTGCTCGCCGAATTCCCTCTCTCTGCCTCCCCGTTATTCGGGGTTTTGCGAAGGATGTTAAGTTTGGAGCAGACGCTCGTGCTGCCATGCTTATTGGTGTCGACATCCTGGCTGATGCAGTCGCTACAACCATGGGGCCAAAGGGCAGAAACGTGATTTTGGAGAGCACTTGGCGTTCTCCTAAAATCACAAAGGATGGCGTCACTGTGGCTAAGGGAATCGAATTAAAGGATAAGTTCCAGAATATTGGTGCAAAGTTAGTCCAGGACGTCGCAAATAACACGAACGAAGAAGCAGGGGATGGTACCACCACTGCCACCGTCCTAGCACGAGCAATCGCGAAGGAGGGCTTCGAGAAAATCAGTAAGGGCACCAACCCAATCGAGTTCCGACGTGGAGTCATGTTTGCTGTTGATGCCGCTGTGAAACATCTAAAAGAAGTTTCGAAGACTGTGACAACGCCCGAAGAAGTTTGTCAGGTTGCGACTATTTCTGCCAACGGCGAAAAGACTATTGGCGAGCTTATTTCCACTGCGATGAAGAAGGTCGGGAACGATGGGACCATCACGGTTAAGGTAAGACTTCTTAAATGAGCTGACAGTTTAAGGATGGCAAAACTCTACATGACGAAGTTGAATTCATTGAAGGAATGAAGTTCGACCGCGGTTACATATCTCCTTACTTTATCAATACCGAAAAAGGTGCTCGTTGCGAATACCAGGACGCGTACATCCTCTTCAGCGAAAAAAAAATAAATAACATCCAGGCACTAATTCCTGTCTTGGAATTGGTTCATCAACAAAAGCGCCCTTTGGTAATCATCGCTGAGGATGTGGAAGGTGAAGCCCTTACTGCTCTCGTACTGAACCGTTTGAAGCTTGGTCTACAGGTTTGTGCCGTCAAATCACCAGGCTTTGGCGAAAACCGCAAGAACACTCTCCGCGATATGGCCATTGCCACTGGTGGAGTCGTAAGTTGCGCAGTTTTACGTACTTGATAATATTTCTACAGTAACGTCCTTTTGCTCCACCAAATGCCTAATAAAACCATGCAGCACCCCTATCTATATTTGCCATCGTCTATACTATCACCTTTTTCATACGTAGGTGTTCGGAGACGAGGCTGACATGTTCAAATTGGAGGAAGCCCAGCTACACGATCTCGGCCGGGTAGCAGAAGTAGTTGTAACAAAAGACGATTGCCTCCTTATGCGGGGTAACGGGAAGAAAGAGGACATCGAACGACGAGTATCTCAGCTCAGAGACGAGATAAAGGCAACTACGAGCGATTATGAAAAGGAAAAGATGCAGGAAAGACTGGCAAAGATGTCAAACGGTGTTGCGGTCATCAAAGTTGGCGGAAGTAGCGAGGTTGAAGTATCGGAAAAGAAGGATCGCTATACTGATGCGTTGAACTCTACTCGTGCTGCAGTCGAAGAAGGTATCGTACCTGGAGGTGGAACGGCTCTACTAAGGTGCATTCCTGTCCTTCAACAACTTGAAACAAAGAACAAAGACCAGAAAATCGGTGCGTATCAGTATTTGTACTTAACTCCTGTTATTTACGCTAGGGACGCAGCATTTAAACCCATTTTTCTTTTTTAGGTGTCGACATCGTCATTAAAGCCCTGATGACTCCAGCTTATACCATCGCCTCTAATGCAGGCGTTAACGGCTCGCTTGTTGTCGAGAAGGTGATGTCCTTACCCTTCGCGGAGGGCTATGACGCCTCGAATGACAAGTACTGTGACCTCATTGCTTCTGGCATTATCGACCCTACAAAAGTTGTCAGGTCGGCTCTCGTTGCCGCTGCTGGCGTTGCGTCTCTTCTGACTACCGCCGAGGCTGTTGTTACCGAGCTGCCTAAGGAAGAATCACAGGCTGCTCCTGGTATGGGCGGCATGGGAGGTATGGGCGGAATGGGCGGCGGCATGGGAATGATGTAAATCATGCTCCCTGCATAAATTCTCCGGTTACTTTTGTACATTCAGTATTGTCACATCTTAGTTGTACAAATAGCTTTTATTTGCATTATCTCATTTTTGACTTTTTACCGACCTTGCACTTGTGGCCATGATATTCACGTTTATCTCTAGGGGGTAGATAGACAGGATCGTTCGTCCGATTATTCGTCCTGGGTTGGCAGTGAAG